GGCACAAAGACTTGGACAGGGGTAAGCAATGGAAAGGCCGCACTATCTCAGGGCAGGTAAAGACCAAGGATAGCCTTGTCCTGACTTTAGACGAGGGTAGTGTGGATGAGATTCCCTACGACCAGATTGAGTGGGGATTAGAGGAGGCGGACAGCGGTGTGGGCCAAGGGAAATCTTACGCTGCTGTCGCGGCTGGAGGGAGGCCGCAAGGAGGAAGAGGCCAGGGCCAAGGGGGCCGGGCCTCAGGGAGTCGATTTCAGGGCGATCAGGGGGTTGGTGGCAGAGGAGGAAACCGCCAAGCGGGAGGCAGGGGTCAAGGTCCCTCGCAAAACCATCCTTGGAATAGGGCTCCCAATAGAATACGAGGATGGCACCCAGGGCTACCTCAGGGTAGGCCTTGGGAATCTTTGGGTCTGGACCAGGCTTTATGGCAACAACGATTGGACCGGGGCCACTGCATTTTCTGCGGTGACCCGGGCCACATCATCAAATATTGTCCTAAGTATAGAGAGACCCAAACGGCTGCCCCAGGGCCAAAAGGCAGCCGCCGGTAGGGGTAGCAACTGCCCCTACCATTAGGCCATGTGGGGAACATAGCGCTAGCCGGCAGGAGACTCCCACACCACATGTGCCTATGGCAGAGGTTGCAGGCCGGTGTCTAAACAGCTGTCCAGAGACTGCTTGTGTCARGGTCTCTTTAGACACCTCCCTCACAGGCGTGGCCGAAGAGAGGCAGTCGGGGCCACGCTCCATTTGAAGGAGCACAAGTGTAGGCTCCCTAGTTCGTCAGGCGAGGCCAAGACTACCCGCCTGTTTCATGCGTCAGGGGTAGAGAATTCCTTGGCGCACTGCTGTCTTAGTGCCCCCGCGTTCGCCAGACTGGTGAAAAAGGAGGGATTGGAGGAACAAGTTTTTGTTGCCTATGTTAGGCCAGTGACTGAGCCTATAGCGGAGAAGCCCGTAGACCCTACTATTGCCAAATTGCTGGAAGAGTTTAAGGATTTAACTAAGCCGCCGACAGGCACGGTACCGCGGCCCATCCAGCACCGTATTGAGATAGAGACTGGCAGTAGAACTTCTAAGGGTGCTGTATATAGGATGTCCCCGCGGGAGTTAAAGGAGCTACGGAAGCAATTGGACAAGCTCCTCGAAAAGGGTTGGATTAGGCCCAGTTCGTCTCCTTTTGGAGCCCCTGTTCTCTTTGTCCCTAAGAAAGAGGGAGAGCTGAGGATGTGTATAGACTATAGGGGTCTGAATGCTATTACAGTAAAGAATGCTGAGCCACTGCCTAGGATAGACGATCTTTTGGATCGAGTGCAGGGGGCCAAGTACTTCTCTAAGATAGACTTAAAGTCCGGATACCATCAGGTAGAGGTACATCCTGATGATCAGTATAAGACAGCCTTCCGGACTCGGTACGGGCACTATGAGTTTATAGTGATGCCCTTTGGACTAACCAATGCGCCAGCTACCTTCCAGCGTTGTATAAACGATTTGTTTAGGCCATGGTTAGATAGATTCGTTGTAGTTTACCTAGATGACATTCTAGTATTTAGTAAGACCCTCGACGAGCATCAGGGTCATCTCAGGCAGGTCTTGGAAAAGCTGAGAGAAGCTAACTTCAAGATCACTGCGAAGAAGTGCGATTGGGCGAAGACCCAAATTTTGTATCTAGGCCACGTCTTAGACGGAGACGGAGTTAAGCCAGAAGATAGCAAGATCGCAACGATTAGAGATTGGCCTACGCCACGTACGCTGACAGAGTTGCGCTCGTTCCTGGGCTTAGCAAATTACTACAGGAAGTTCGTGAGGAACTTCTCCACCATCGCTGCGCCCCTTCGCAGATTGCTAAGAAAAGAAACAATCTGGAAGTGGGACAAGGACTGCACGTCTGCCATAAGAAGCTAAAGCAGGCGTTGATAGAGTATCCGGTCCTTAAGGTCGCCGATCCGTCCTTGCCTTTTGTTGTTACTACGGATGCTAGCCAGTACGG